GTTTCTCACGGACACACTGTGAGTCCCATTGGCCCATCCTTGGTCACTTAACAACTTGGGAACCAACCACTGACTGGAGTGGGAATGGAATTAGCTCTGGGCCAATGAGACCTGTCTCTGGGGTTTGTCATGGATCATTGTCCCCTTCGGAGGGGAGCTCCCTGAGCAAAACTGAGATTCTATTTGGAAGGGAGAAGGGAGAATAGGAGTTGGGAGGGGAAACCAACAGTGTCCAGCGTCAGGGGACATTGTCAAACTCCTGAGTCTGTACTCCCCGGTGGCTGCACTGCCCTGCGTCTTGGATGAGTCTCCCCGTGCCGCAGGGTGATTAATGAGTATGGAGCTTGTACATCACCCACACCTGCCCCTTCTCTGTCGGCTGGTCCAATCCCCTAGAAGCAGGTGGGGGTCTGAAGGTCTGACTTGAGCACATCCTGAGGAGTGGAGTAGTTATTTTTAAAGATATACCAACATCAGTTTAAAAAACAACTACCCCACTCCTCCATTCCCCTCGGGAGAAGTCCCTCTGAGGCGATCTCTTTCTGGCAACTTGCAGGACTGACTTGTTAATAGAACCCCGTTTTGGACTTAAAGAACTTTGGAAAGATGAGCTGGACCTTCCTTCACAAGAAGGTCATTCTTAGCAGACATGATGGACTGGAGCATCACTGGGCAAATCTTTGCCTCATCTCCTTCCCCTTTGGGGCAGGGTGGACTTTGGGCTTGGACATTGACTTGCTTTGGCCAACAGAATGAGTGGCTGTGACTCTATCAGAGGCTGTAAATGTCGCTGACACAGTTTGGCGTGTCCCTGTGTTTTTATGTCACAAGTCTTCATTTTGCAGCAGCTTTGCAGCAATAGCTGACTGATATTTTGGGGTATTGTCTAAAAGGATATTGGTAGTGTGGATGCGTAGGACAAGCTGTGCTAAAGGAGCTTCTGGAACAGAACGTATTGAGAGCAGCTCAGGGAGGAAATGAACTGTAGATGTTTGGGTGAGTTTCTTGAAACAACCCAAATTCTAAGAACTTTCTATAAAACAGTTCTCTGACCTATTATCACCAAAACAAATTTCATGGCCAAGAAATTGCTACACCCTGAGTTTCTTCATTAATACTGAAATGTTGTATAATGTGGAGGAAAGTGTGCGGGGACATGATGTGGGGTTGGTTCTGCTGGTGTCTGGTCCGTGATTTTGAGCAAGTCACTTAATCTCTTTGAAACTCACCTTCCTCACCTGCAAGGGAGGGTTGGTTCTAAGAATAAAAATGATCACGTATATGTTGGTTGTCAAACTGTGCATTTAGTGGATGGGATTTCTTTCCAGACAAAGTCAATGAAGAAAGCTGGTAACTGAATGCTACAGTCAGTTTAAGTCTTCATCCTTTGGCACCAAGATTTTAATTGTAGGCTGAACCTCCGGCTTCCTATTCAGAGCCCTTAGGGTTCCTTGCAGCCTAGTTTGAAAATCCCTGATACGGTGAAGTCACTCTACAAATGTAGATGGTGATGACAATGGTGTGTGGTCTCCTATCCGGTTTCCTTGGCTTCCCTTCTTCCCAGATCCCTCACTGACTGTACTCTGAAAGTCACAATGAAAGATTTTGGGGTGCCTATGTTTGGGCTCAGTTTAAAGTTTAAAATAGGGTCAAGGAGACTCAACCACACTCAACAAGTCAGCTTTAATTACAACACCATTGTTTCTTCAGTTGAGTGATGTCTCCAAGTGTCAATACCATCATCCATGAATACCCTTTAGCTGTGTGGTGGTACTTTGACACCAAGTCTCTATTTGAGCAAAGACATTTACCACCCTAATCTGGAAGTCTGTGTCCTCTCCAAGCACACATCATCAACCTGGGGCCCAACACGATGCTGGACTCCTGCACTCTTAGGTGCTGCACATGTACCCCAATCCCTGTCTCCTCAAGGGCATTGTCACGCACACATCTCTCTGACAGTATAACAGTAAGTGCAATCAGTTGTTACGAAAATAGATTCTATCTTTCAATCCTGCAAAGGGCTCCCATGTGTCCAGCCCATTCCATTGGAACCACTCCTAAGGGGCTTTCATCTTTTAAACTCATTCCCCTGGGCCTTATGAGCCATTTATGGTTTAATAAGAATGAGCTCATCAGCATCTACCCAGAGAGAATTAAGTGGGGATGGAGTGAAGTGCTTTGGTTAGGTTTTCCCCAGGAACAGACCCTGAGACAAAAATCAAGCACAAGTAATTTATTTGCAAGAGTTATGAACGTAGGCAAGTGAGATAGGTGAGGGCCCTAGCCGATAAAAGATGTGTTGTCAAGAAAATTGCCCCTCCCATGGGTGACGGCAGTTAAATCCTTCTAGGGATCCCTGGGAACCAACATGGAACCCGCACCTCAGAGTCGTCTCACCCAAGAAGAAAGGGAACTGGAGCATTTACACACCAACTTCCTTTGTCACGGGTGGAAAATGCTTCCGGGGTGAAAATCCCCTGGCTTTTCTGTTCTTCCTCATGCGTGGGCATAATGCACCCTGGTGGCCAGGGAATACCCTTAGAGGTAGAAATGTACCACTATGGAAAGTCCTGAGGGAGAATGGGCAAGGCACTGAGAGAACCCGTGACAGTCCACCCTGGCACCAATCAGATCTCCTCATGTCCTCTTCTGAACCCATTCTCTTCTGTCACTGATGCTTCAAGGTGATGACCAAACAATTCCTTTGAGGTAAACCAAGGGACTAAAAATAGTGAAATCATGTTAAATTTGTAACTTTTTTTTCCTTTTCTGTCTCTTTACTTATCCACATTTTTATCAGTAATTTATACATAATAGTGGGATTTCTTTGTTGAAGGAGGCTCCAGCAGAGGAGTGGTTCAGAAGCCCCAGTAGGCAAGAAGATTGCTAAATGCCACATTATCAAGCAAGTAACCCGAATGTGCGTAGTTCTTCCGGGGAACTCTGGAAAGCGATCTACCATGTCCGTTCCCCAGTGGCAATGCAGAGAGGTTATTTATTTGTACCAGCTTTGGCCAGTCATTGGTTGAAGGCCACTAAGGTGGTAGTAGTGATGGTGTTAATTGCTGGGCACTTCCAGCTTGCCTTGAACTTGGGCAGAGTGGACATTGGTAGTTGAAGAAAGCTCCTAGGTGACGAGATCCAGGTACTGGTCATTGAAAGACAGGCTGATGTGCCCTGCCATGGTACCACCCGAGAGGATATGGGCAGGGAACCAACAGTATCACTTACAGTGAGAAAGGGAAGGAGAGGGGAGCTCTGAAAGCAGCAGTTGAGGTTAGGGAAGGCCCAGAGGTCGGGACAAGGTTAAGGGCATTAAGAGTTTCCTGACTCTCATTTTGTTTAGGGCTAGTCACCTCCTCAGGTGTGGCTGCTTGGCATTTCTCTTTTTAGCGCATACCTTAAAGAGGCAGGAAAAGAAACGCATACCCTCTTTTGGTGATGTAGCTAACACCAAGAAGACATCTTTGCAACTTCAGGCATGCATCTCTGTCTTGGATGAGGCAGGGCTGGGAAGTAAATGTCTTAGTGGAGAGGCCTGTTGCTTAGCCCTTAATGAGCCCAGCCAGAGAAGCATAAACCTCTCTGCTGGACCCCTTTTTGAGGTAGTAGGCTATGTTGGGTGGAATTTTATATTACCTTAGTAAATCCCCTGAAGTTAAAATAAAAGATCTATGGAGGATTTATTATTTTTATGAAAGTTCCAGGGCATTAAGAACCACAGTTCTATGTATAGATGACCTTGTGTAGGATTTTTTTTTCTGGGCTGAGGAGAAATGGGATCTTTGGGTGAAAATGGACATGGCAGTCTCTCCAGGTAGCTTTTAGTGGTGGATAGTGATGGGTGCCCATTCATCTCCCTCCTTCTCTCTGTTTTCCAGTCAATTGAGATATAGACATAAGAAGACAAAATATCAAGAATAGTAAATGATCAGAAACCACTTGAATGCTTATTAATAAGGGGAAGATTTTTAAAATTGTGGTACATCCATAAATTGGAATACCATGTAGCTATAAAAAAGAGAATGAAGATACTCTCTCTGAGAATTGACAGGGAAAGAGCACCAGGAAAATGATCAGGAGTGAGGGGGAAAGGCTGTCCTATGTATACACCTAATTTGGAAGGAATCGCCATAAAATGCCACTAGGGCTTGAAGGTGGGAACAAGGTAGACGGGACCCTGAGAAGGAGGGGGACTTTTGACTGAATACCATTTTCTGGAAACATGCAAGTATGTTGCTGCATGTATCTACAGAGCTAGAAAAGACTCAAAGAGGGGAAGACAGAAGGGGATGGATTAACATAGTTCCTTTGCTCCTCATGCCCAAAGTTACCCGGATGTCTTTTATTGTGACGTTGGGAAAGGGAGAAGGAAAGGGGTAGAGAGGAAGGGCTAAGAGGGTGCCAGTGGGAGGCCAGAGGTGGGGTGCTCTCTCTGCAGGTGGAGATCACCATCTGCATCTGCTAAACACATCATTGGTGTGCTCACCACATCACACTCAGCACGTGTGCTTTACACCAAGAAGGGGCTCGGAAAGATGCGGCTAAGGTCTGAGCCATTCCGCTGTTGTACGATCTGCCTGGACAGTCCCTTTATTGCCACCCACTTGGGAGGCCAGGCAGGGCGATGGGTACAAGCACCGACCCCTGAGTCTGCTCAAACCCTGGCTCTGTGGCTTGCTGGCTACAGGGCTTGAGTACCTAGTGCATCTTCTTTAAGCCTCAGTTTTCTCACTCGTAACACAGAAATAACACTAGTGCTCATCTTTCTCTGTTAGGAAGTGCACCAGAGTACCCAGGACAATGCCAGGTCCATCATAGATGCCCAGTAGATTTTAGTGCTTATTTATTACTTGAGTAGTAATTTCTGTGGACCAAAGTACAGACCCTGACTCTTTACACTGAGGATGCACCGGGTCTATGTTCTCTCCACGGGAGCAGGCCAACCTGTCCTTGCTGACCCCCTGGCTGACCTAACAGTGACATTTCCATTTCAGCCTCTGAGGGCTCAGTGAGGGGATCTCCAAAGGAGCTCTTCTGCTGGCAGATGTGTCCTACGGGATTCCAGAGGCAATGCCAGATGTTGGTGTGCAGCTGTGCTCACAGATCACCCTGACAGTGTGTATTCCCTGCATAATTGCTAAGTAAATGGCTTAACGTTTGCAAAAAAAAAATGGCTCTAAAAGTTAATGATTCTTCTAAGAGGAGAAATCTCTTCCCACCCCCAACCACACCAGATTGCTGGCTCTCAGTCTTCTCTGCCTTGTGGAAAGACGCGGTGGGCCCAGATTCCAACCCAATCAAGCAATTTACTTGGAATTCCATTTGTGAATGATTGTGTCTTGGTTGGGACAAGCAAGAGTAAAGCTGGTATTGGCCGGATTACTGGGGGATTCTCCAATCTTACTGCTGGTATGTGTTTACTGTGTTGAGAAAGGAGTTGCAGGCTGCACCCTTATGCAGGGTTCAAAGAGTTCAAGGAGAGTTTTTCAAGTTTTATGAATGTTGCACATAAAATCTGGGTGCGTGGTGTGCACCTGTAGTCCCAGCTACTTGGGAGGCTGAGGGAGGAGGGTTGCTTCCGCCCAGGAGTTCAAGGCCAGCCTGGGCAACACAGAAAGAGCCCGTCTAAAAGGGAGGAGGAGGGGGCGAAAGGGCTTGGGGAGACAAGGAGGGGGAGGGGAGGGGGAAGAGGGGGGAGGGGAGGAGGAAGAAGTAAGTTTAATACACCAAAGAAGGTTCTATCCTGGTCCCTGTGTTCTGGCCAGAGACGTGCTTTTCTGCGCTGTGTAAACAAATACTGTCTCCTTTGGAAGTAGAAGATGAGCCAACAACAAGCAAGCCTATTCTTCAGATGTGATCAGGCAGAGGACTTGGAGAGGCACCCAGGGACCCAATAAGTCCAAGTTCACCTCCAGTATCTTTTCCTGTACAAAAAAATACAAAGGACTCTCAGAATAGGGGGGTCCAGGAGCAGCCAAGCTGTAGCCTTCATCTGCCTTGTCAGTCAGATCTGCCTTGAGGAGGAAGACCATGTAGGGGAAGGGATGGGGGGATGCTGTGATTACTGCTATTCTGAGTTCTCCTCCGTCCCCTCCACACCTACAGCATGCATGGGACAGGTTGGTGTTGCGGTTCAGACTGTGGCCCCCAAAGCCGTGTTGCCTGAGTTCAAGCCCCAGCTATGCTCCTTATAAGCAGTGTTGTGGTTTCTTTTTTTTGGAGGAAAAGGATAAATTTTTTTAAAACTTACAATTATATATTGCATATTAATTATATAAAACAATGGGATTCATTGTGACAATGTCATTCATGCGTATAATGTATGATCTGATCATAGCCACCTCTTTGGCCCCTCCCTCTCCTCCAATCACTTTCCTCTAGCCTAACAGTCGCTCTTCTATTTTTTTTTTTTTTTTAGATTCCACATATGAGGGAGAACAATGGTACTTATTTTTTGAGACTGGCTTATCTTACTTAACATGATGATCCAGTGCCACCCCTTTTCCTGCAAATGATATGATTTCATTCTTTTTTATGGCTAAATAATATTTCATAGTGTATATATATATATATATACCACATTTTCTTTAGCAGTCTATTCATTGATGGACATCTAGACTGAGTCCAACTGTGTGGTTGGACTTCAATTTCTTTTCTATAAAATGCTGATCATAACAGCACCTGCTTGGAAATGAGATTGTGAGGGTTAGATGAGTTCATACAGGTAAATTCCCAGTTCATACTAAGAAGTATAGAAGGTTGGTTTCAAATAACCAGAAAAGAATCCTTTTGTTTCATTATCTTTTAAGTTAAAAGAGTACTTTATTTTGTAAGTACTGAAGAGTTCTTAAGTCAGTGGAATTAAGGAGTTGGCATGATGGGGCTGAAGTAAGTTCCCTGTAAATTACTTATGTAACTTGGACAAGAGCTAGTGGCTCACCCAAGCCTGGGCTCTTGCACCCACACAAGCAGTTTCTGGTTCTGCCTCGTGGCTGTCCAGATCTAGGGCAACTCACTAAAAGTCACCCTCAGACAATGTCACACATCCGTGGGCAAGAGGGACCTCACCTGCAGCATTCTGGGGAGTTGAGAGGAAGGGGCAGAGAGGGTGTATACTGCAGGCGCGCGCAGGTGCACAGGGGAGAATCGCTCACCACTGCAAACACTTGAGCATCTCCCGGGATCCCTTCTCTCCCAAGCCCCACTTGGCTGGGCTCTGAGGGTTTCCCTCCACGCCCTTTCCCTGTGCCAGCTGTTTGAGTCAGCTGAGCAGCTGGCCCTGCCCCAGCTCTGAGTCCCAGTCTTGCTCCACTCACCCTCAGAACCTCCGCGCCTGCAGACATCCATCCTGAGCGCCTCCTGTTATTTACTAACTCTGCAAGCTCGGATAAGTTATTTTACCTCTCTGAGTCTCAGATCAGTCGTCCAAAAAAAGTACTGTTATTAAGTTATTCGGAAGACAAAGTAAAATCATGTCCAGAAAAGAGAGCAGTTCCTGGCATATAATAGGTCTGTAATGCCTGCTTTGTGAATAAATAAGTAGCCCAATCCCTCATGTAAATGGGATTTCGGCTAGTAGAAAATGGGCTTTGGTAACTTTTGATGATATAAGACACCATGGGGTATAAAGGAATGAAGAGAGAGAGATGGAGATGGTGTTGGGAACTTCTACAACCAACTTTATCACTCTAAGTGTTAATTTCCTCCATCATAAAATGGGGATAATAACAGTACTTATTTATAGCTAGTAGGAAAATTAAATGAGATAGTGCATGTAATAACAGAGCCTGATCCAGTTGGAGACTTTAAAAAACCTTAGCTACTATATTCAAAGTTTATGCATTGAGTTGAACTACTAGAATATGAAAGTAAATTTTTCTTCTTTCCTGGTATAAAATTCAAGTTCACAAGATTTAGATGTATTTAAGAAATCCTTGTATTATTTTAGTGAAGGCTTTAGTCAAGGCAGAAATTATTTAATTTAAGCTAATAGCTTTGGCTTTAGAAGTCTAGAACCACTACACAATCCATAAACTTACTAATAGTTCTCTTTTGATATTTAGTTTAGGAAATCTCAACCTCTTTTCTGGCTGTTAGCTTTGTAGTGGGTTTTCTTTCATCCACGACACACTCAGAATTAATTTGGAGTATGAGCTAATAGCCCAGCACTCCTGGTCAGTGTTCCCTTTGATTTTGTGTAAATCGTGAGCAATTGGCCATATTCAACAAGCAACTAGTTATGAAGAGAGAATATGCATGAGTAGAGTTTAAGGCTGGGATCAAATAAAGCTTGCAACAAATTTAATGTGACACTGTAAAGGATATGCAAAATCAGTACTGCACCGTGCGGTAATGAGACGTAAATGCAGTTCACAGACAGGACAGTAGTTGCCTTGCTCAAGACAAGTCCTTCTGGGAGGAAGGCGGTGAGCCTGTCAGGAGAAAGCAGCTTTGGGGTTCTTCAGAATTTTCCAGAATCCAGAGCATCTAAATGCCTCTCTTTGCCAATAGAGCCTGAGAGACCAGGAGGCTTGTTGCTTAGGACAACAACATGACAAAATGAGTCTCCTCCTGGTCATTATGGGGGATTGACTATAAGGGAAGTTTGTTACTCTAGACCAGGAATTGGCCAACTTTTCTACAAAGGGCCAGATAGTAAATATTTTAGCCACTGAGGGTCATAGGACTTGTGTTGCAATGACCTGCCATTGTAGGGCAAAAGCGGCTACAGAGGATGGGTACACAAATGGGTCTAGCTGTGTTCCAATAAAACTTTATGGAAACAGGTGATGGCCCAAACTTGGCTCATGGGCTATAGTTTGCTGGGTTCTGGTCTAGACTAAGGCTCTGGGTGGGAAACTGGTGAAGGGGAGGATGCAAACCACTTTCCAGAAGCAGACTTGTATCTGGGTTGATGGGTGAAATAGGGCCATGGGAAGTTGGGGTGCAGGGTACCTTCACACCTTTTTTGTCTTTTTTTTTCCATCACAGGGTTTGGCTGTCTTAATGAAGGCAACGAATTGTAGATGTAGTATAGAATGGAGAAGAGTAGGGAAACCGACTGGGGTCAGGTTTAAACCACAGATTTCTCTTGATTTAGCTTTTTGTGTGACCTGAGGCAAGTCATTTCTCCCTCTCTGTGTCCATCTGTAAAATTGAGATGATAGAACCTGTTTCATAGAATGGTATGGATCAAATGAACTTCGTTATATGAACTGTTTATTTTATTCGAAATGGTGGAGATGGGATATCTTCATGCTGTAGTCTAAGTGCAGTTTAAGGAAAGTTCAAAGAAGTTTTAGGATTTATAAGTCATATAGACTTATAAATTTATATAAATCATGTATATTTACCATTCGGGTTTCTGGTGGTGCAAATTTACTCTTCCTAGGGAGTAATGAGTTTGCCCACTCTCTCAAGTGCTTATTAGCTATTGATAGCCTTTTTTGTGTCATGTCTGTATGGGTACAAGTCTTAATGAGTTGCAGAAGCTCTTTCTCCAGGCTGGAAATGAGACTCTTAGCTGTGAGAAGTGTTTTCTGGTAAACAGAAGTCCCTGATATTAATACAGTTCTCCTTAACTATCTTTGCTTTAAAGTCAGTGATTCAAGCAAATTCTTTGCTATTGTTTAGATCACATTGTTTGTATATACTTCATACCAGTATGTGAGAACCATTGGATTCATTGGCTAATTTTTTTTCCCATCCTGAGATTTGGGGAATCTAGAAAACTCCACCATTTTCATTTGAGTTTGTCATCAACACACCTGGGAGGAGGGATGCACAGAGCCTAGTTACCAGGTGTGGATCATCATGGGCACCCGGGTGGGGCTCAGTGTCATCTATTTGTTCATTTTACATTTCACTGAAAGTGAGGATGATGGTATCAGAGACAGAAGCAGGGGGGGAGATTGGGGTGGGCACAAGTCAGCACTGGGACAGGATTTCAGGGGAGAGGTGAAGCGGATTAGCGAAATGGGAGTTTGAGCAGCTTGCAGGGTAGCCAGAGAAGGTTCCTGGGTTTCTGGAAAAGGGGAGAGCAATCGAGAGGGGGTGGATGATAGGATAAGCTCAAGAGATGGGGAGGAAAATAGAAGAGAAGGTTTTAACTACATGGCTAACGTCAGAAGCTCAAATATAGCAAAGAAAGGTGTTCATGGGGGCTTGGCCCTATGAGAGCGGGTTTCCTTGACTTTTTCCAATTTATTTTTATTAGTAAGATTTTAATGATCTGAGTCACATAGCAACGGTTTTTTGATAATAGAGACACTTCATATCTATCATATTCCTCTCCTGATGGGGAATAAAATGGGCTATTGACTCTTGGATAGGTACTCTATGAAAGATTGAAGGGAACAGAAGCAGAGGCAAGCCCCATGGAGAGGATATATTCCTTGTCAAGACTGTGA